ATACGATTGATTGCGCGCATAGTTTCATAAGCTACCTCACCCAAAATAATAGATACGACGAACTTCTCTCTCTCTCTCTCTTTCTCTTTTTCACTCACCGTTCCCCCCTTTTCGTCCATTCTCGTTGTCCCGCATTGCTCCACAATAATTTCACGACGTTCTTCGAGAGTTACGCACACGGAGAAAGCAAATTTTGCCCAGAACGGTAAATGTTTGTCAACATGACAGCAAGGAAAAAATTTATTTAGACAGCAAAAAATTGGTTTGAACAGCAAAGAGATTTGTTAAAAGTACTAATTGTCCATACATCTCCAGCAAATAGCTATGGCGTTTATTCGGTTTACGAACGTTTATATCTTCGAGAGAGAGATTTTCTGCGTGTAGAGAAGAGCCCTCCGCCAAAATTTCCCCCCACGTAATGAGATTGGCACGTCTTGCGTCTGTTCTGCGCCTCGGCCGGCGCGATGAAACGAATTCATCATCCGGGATCTGGGAACGTGATTGGACGTTCTTCGACTAATTCGGACTGCGCAGATTTCAGCACCGGAATTTCAACGACCCACTACAATTTCCGCTTTTATTTCCTGTACCTCGGTAAATGGGAGGGGGGAGGGGGAACGTGTGATTCATTCCTTTGGCCGGCAGCGTCGCGTTCCGGGTTCCTTTTTTTTATCTTTCTTTCTCGTCCAGCTCGGCAATCGGATCCCGTGAAACCGCGTCTATTTCCGCATCCTCTCCTCCCCGCGACGCGCGCCAAGTTTCGGATTGGTTCGTACCCGCCGCTTTATGACGTGAACATGCGGTGTACAATTCCAGTCTGCGGCGCGTGGTGGCCGTCCCGAATGGCCGTGTGACAGAGACGTTATCGATCAGGTAATACAGCATACCTGACGGAAATTCGATGCGCGCTGGTAAACGCATCCAGTGATGTTTCCTTTTTTCTTATTCATCCTCCGCAACCCGCGGGCCCCTTTGCGACTATTTTTAACACACATATCGCATGCAACCGCCCGATGCCGGCCGATCCGCTTTTAAACGCTTCGGGTGAGCGGCGCCCGTGAAATACGGATCCGGTTTGATTGGTTTCGTTTGTTTTCGAGTTGTCCTCGCGATCGCCGATTAGGAAGCGTGGAGGACGGCGCGTTATCCCCGTTGACGAGTGCCGTTTCAGCCGAAAACCGTCCCAGCCGGAAACCGTCAGAGCGGCGATCTCAGAGACTCGCGCCGATACGTTTCGACACGCGACATGTCAATCGACGCAACGTTAACAAGCCCGTGTAATCGCCGAGCTTCGTGACACTTTCGCGTCGCTCGTTTCGCTCAGCCATCGAGATTACCGTCAATCTGCTGTTTAATCGAATACAGATAATAGGCACTTCGGAAAATGGATTTGATTACGCAACTCGCGTCTCCCGTCCGGGGACGGATTTTCCGACATTTTTTTCTGCTACGGCGGGACACAGCACACGTCGTGTTTGTTAAAACCCGGCTGGTTGGATTTTTTGCGCTCGTTTGTAAATACTCCGGTTTGTAAATCGAGGGAAATTTGCGGCGAAACGCACGCGAAAATTATTATTCTCTGTCCGAAAATGTGCAGTATCGCACGCGTGAGAGGAAAATACATCGCGGCGCTGTCGAAACGCAGTTAATTAGTCGCGACAGTGGAGAAAAAAACTCGAAACACCTATTAGATATAATAATTATTCGCAACTAAGTGAATTTCTTGAAGCGCAACTTGATCCTTGCAACATCACCGCCGGGAATAAACGACAAAACGAGGCGACCTTCCGCCGCGAAGCGAGTAGTAGAACAATTAATCAGTGGGCGTAGCGGCGCGGATGACTTGTCGCTTCTCGGGGTGTCGCGTGACACAGATATTTCTTACCGCCGAGAAACGTCCGCTGCAACTTCTGCAACGGTGATGCAATTACGACGCGGCATTTGTTTATCTCGGAAATTTGTCAAGCATGTTTACCGATCCGTCGGGTATCGAGGTTCGTGGCCGTTCGCCTCGTCGAATTTGTTTCTTACGAAGAAACCGTTCGAGTCTGCGAAGATACCTCCCTTCCATTTCTCATCATTTACCAAGTCGAAATTTACTTAAACTAAGTGAAAAGCGGCGATATTTTTACAGAAGCGACAGTGAAAATACTGCCGCTCGGAATCACAGGAGTGTATGTATCATTCAAGCTTAGAATGGATTCTGACTCTATACGAGCGGATGTTTCAATCGATTAGAATGAATTTGTGATGGTGCGGAATATGTCAGATTCGCTCTTCAGTTTCAAGTGGAAATATTTACTCGACGATTCGGGGTGAGGAATTCACTCGCAGAGTGAAAAATCACTCTAATCACAGTCGATCTTTACCAAACGATTTCATACAATTAAACAAGTTACAAAATATAATTTCAAAAATAAAATAAATCATATTTGCATTGCTTCTATACTGTTATCAAAGAAATATTCTTCATTCCAGATAATCTTTACGTAAAAGAAGAAAAATCGATTGAGTAACTGTTTATCTTCGCAGTGAAATATTCTTCTCTGCAGGGATCGAGTCTTTCAAAGGATCAAGTGTCCCCAGGCTTCCCTGAAAGGATAGGCTAAAGAAGTAAGTTTCACGTTAATTTTGCGGATTTACTTATTGATCGTTAAAGTAAGAGACAAGTTTTCGGAATATTTTACAAATCTAATCGACCGATCACAGGTATCATTTTCACGGGCGTATCTTTCGGTTTCCGCGTATCTCGTCGGAATTTTCGTCCCCCTTTTACTCGCCCACGTCATCAAGCGCGACGACAGGGGACCGGTGCTTTAAAGAACGTTAAAGTAGCGTCAAAATATTCGACTCGGTACGAACGCAAAAGCTCGAACGTCGATCCTTCTCGCGCGCGTCAGCCAGCGCGCTGAAATTTACGGCGGCGCGCATGAAGAGAACGGCCCAACGAGCGCGCGGTTTCGCATCCGGCTAAGAGGGCGAGCAAATGCTGGCGACTGCCGGGATTTTCCATAAAATCGAGCCCGCACGATCTATTTTACTCGCTCCGTTCACCAATTTCCGGGGGTTTGCGCTCGATTTATATCGGCCGCTACCACCAGCGTCATACGCGCGGATTTTATTCTCATCGGAGGAATCGATGATACGTAGCCCACTTGTTCGTCGCTTAGAATACATCATGTCGACGTCGACGCGTGTGCTGGCGCTACTGTCAAAAATGCGGGGCGAAACTGCGCCGGCTCGATTAAAGGGGAGCTTCCGGGAAACACGTGGCGGAATGACGGTACGGGGATGAGGCGGGCATTACGCAAATTCCGTCCGCTTAACACCCGACGTCGCGCGCGAGTCACCCTAATACAGGTCGGTGGAAGAACAAAAATTCAAGAGAAAGAGGGAGAAATATGTTTTGACGACTTTAAAGTCGATTTCCGATAATTACGAGACTGGCTCCTCTTCTCTCTCTCTCTCTCTCTCTCTCTCTCCTCCGGCGCGCAATTGTGCGCCGGGCGATGCAAAACGCGGGAGAAGGAATCAAGAGGGGGGAGGGGAGGGGAGGATTGTACAAGCCTGACGCGTCTTGCCGCGCCGGTGGAAAAGTAATCGCGCGTCGGTGTCGCGAACGAAGAGACGGCTTTCGCGAGCGGGCTGACGGTAATTCTCGCTCAAATTAACATTCTCTGGCTGTCACGGCGTTAATTGCAAAACTTCGGCCGGTAGATGAGGGTGATAAAACGCCGCGACTAAAGCCACTGGCTGCGTAGAAGGTCGCCGACGGCGGGGTACGAAACAGGTTGGGTGGACGGGCGGTGGGGAGGGGGGAACTAGCGAGTCGCGTATATCGCGGAAATATTGCCGCCGTCTGCGATAAAACCGGGAGCGAACAAGCCGGCCGGATACATCAACACGGCGACCAGGTTAAAGAGAACGTCATCTACCGCGCTCGCATTGAGAGGAAACAGGAGAGGCACGCATCCCCCTAGAAACGTGATTTCTTGCCGGACCGCTCGAGAGCACGACGGAAATTTCTCGCATCCCTCGGGTTCCCCTTTCTCCTCTTCTTTCTGGATCCCTAGATATAATAAGTAGGGAAGTGCAGCTGAATCCGGCCTATCAGAGGTTCGCCATCTTCCTCGCACGGTGCTGCCTTGGGGCAAACAAGCAAGGAAATGAGAGAAGGAAGAAAGGCCGGTTTGCGAGGGATTAACTTCAGCAGTTAAGACTCTTACTTCAATATTTGTTACCTGTTGTTTATACTAGCTTCAATATTTAAGTAAGAACACCCCCCTCCCCCCAACGTCATTCGTAGCTACTCGTTATATGCCGCACATCGAAAAAGGATTTTGTCGAGTCACGACGTACTAAATGCAGAGGAAAAGCACCGAGATTTACTATTTTGTTTTTAAGTTCTAAAATCCTATTTTGAAGGATTTCATATTTAAGATCGATCTTAAAATTTATCTTCAGATGTTGTACGGTTCATTTCATTGGCTAGGAAGCATCCGAAGATGAACTTAAGACGGCCTGAAACATAAGATTTGACTGTGAATACCGGTCTTCATCGTAGCTTAAGAAAAAAATGGCCTAGTCATGTGTGATTCAAACAGCCAATCGGAATCAATGCTGTTGAATATCGCGTCTCTAGTTATATCTAAGCCTGTAGTGCGCACGAATGCGATATTGACAAGACTCACGTTCCAACGACACGTAAGTACGAGTGTAATCAAACACGTTGCTGCAGTCGTTGCTGTAATTCGACATTGTTGCAATCGCCGGACGGTGGAATGCGCGACGACGTTATACTTGTGCGCGAGCTCGGTACTTTTCCTCTGCTAAAAGTGTATAACAAAAAATATTGCGATATATCCCATGCTCCTAGTCGTGGTGGACGAAGAAAATGGCGCCTAGATCGTGTGGTTTAAGGGGGAAGTTTACTGTGACAGGGAAAAAACAGGCCGATTTTCCGGATTTTTTTTCTAACGAAATATGACTCGTACATTAAATTAAATTAAACCGTCATCTTTATTATATATTCAAGTATTTGTAAAAAAATTTTCAAGTCGAAATATTCAAAATTGCCGTCGTGGCACTCCTTCAAGTGCAGGTCCGTTTTTTTTAGGTGCCCAAACGGTGTACATGAAATCTCACGTCTGGGTGATCTGAAACAAAAAACAAAATATGGTTATCATCTACATAGTATTGACTCTCGTCTGACGGAGGATTTTGTCGATAAAAAATTTTGGCGCCGAAAAAAAAATTCTTGAAATTTTTTTCTATTTTTTTGCCCAAATTTGATGTTATTATTGTTTATAACAATTACACAAAAAACGATATCAAAAAAATGCTCCGCCAGACGAGAGACACTATTCCAGAGAATATGTGGTTAAAATTTCAAGTCGATTCATTCATTAAAACTCGAGATATCGTGTACACCGTATTGAAAAACTTAGTTTCGAGAAAAACGCGTTTAAAGTTTCGGCATTAGTTTTTTCAATGAAAAAATCATTTTTAAGCTTCTTACCATTAATCGCCCATTCCTGCTTCATATAGTACACCTTCTTCTTCAAGGAAATCCTCTTCGAGTGCCGATCGCGCCGTTCTTCTTTCGATTCTTTCTTCTTTTGAAGCGTCGAACGACCGTTCATTTGCTTGTGATATTCTGCGCTCGTCCACGGTGTTGCATAAATTGAAGGCGTTTGGTCCAATTTTGATGTTCATAACGTCCATCATTTTGAGGATACTGGAGTAGCCTTCATTGAAAATGCTCGCAGCACAATACGACGCAATATCGACGGTTTTTGCGCCGCTGAATGTTTGTTTCGGAGCTAATGACCAGATCATCGCATTCAGGCTCTCGTTGCTGTTCTGTGTATATCCTCTAACACAACGTGTCAACAAATTTTTGTTGCTCAGCTCTTCGTATATAGGTGTGATGGCCTTCAGCACGTCGCTAGAGAGAGCCGGTTTGTGTTCATAATCGGACAGATTACCTTGAGCTTTGGCTTGTTGCCAGGTACACCAGCTGTCTTCACCCTGCGGACAATCCTCATGTTGTAGTTTCTCGTTTGTCGATGCTTTGTGTTTCAGCGTAGCCCATATTGCCTTTTTCATATCCGGCATAGAATCTATTCCTTCGGATGGCTAACCCGTAATAAACACTAAGTTCATCTATTAGTTTTACTATGAATTTTCCTTTGCCACCCAGTCCTTTAGTATCTTTTTTTAGTTTTCTCAGTCGTGCTCCTATTCTTTTCTGGACATAGCCAACGCATTCTTTTTTTTCGACAATACAATTTTCGCCGTAAGGTTTACATTCTGTTATCCTTTTGAAAGTTTTACAATCGCCGTCACCGACATAGGAGGTATATTTCACGCCGTGTAATTTCTCCGATCTCATGAACATTTCTTTAGCCGCGTCCACCTCCATTTTTCCGGCGCTACCAACGTGATTCGCAGTGTATTCATTTTTGTGTGTTTCCATTCATTCATCGAAGTCGTCAGCGTGTGTCTTCCAGTACTCGCACTGCTTACAATACGTGCATTTTACTAGGAGATCGAGGACTTTTCCTGTATAATGTCCGATCAAAGTCGTTACGCCTGGCAACGATGAATAACCCCGCTTACGCCAAGTTCCGTCGCCAGAAACAGTTAATCCTCTTGTTGGTTTGTCAGCATTTTCGACACTTTCCGTCACATTTTTTTCTTCGGCAGCAGCAGCACAAAACAATAAATTGGCAACGGCTTGCGATGCAGTATGAACACTATCGACGATATCATAATAAACTTTTTTATTGAAGATTTTCGGGAGATCCATTATACCGCAAAACTTTCGTATACCTTCGTAACCGACACCAATGATTCTCATTGCAAAAACGATGCGCCTGTTGATTTCGTAAGCATTGTTTATAAATGGGCAGGAGTTTATGTAGTGAGATTCACAATTACTGCATTTAACGACTAAGTTGAATCCAAGTCCACGGATACTACTTTCCGAAAAAGTCACATTTCCACCGCACGTTTTGCACATGATCATTTCACTCAGCGTTTGAAACAAGAATAAAAATTTAATCAAACGGTATCCATAGCCATTATTAATTTCCACTTCCACCGATTTCGTTCTTAATTTTTTCGCGGAAGAACTTGTCGATTCCGTTTCATTCTCCATTGTATGGCGATTTGGTGGCGGCGGTCTTTTCCTACGTCGTGAAGGTCGTCCGGGAGTTTCGCGTGAACCCTTTCGGTCGAAAGAAGCAGGCTTCATTTTGATAAAAGTATAAAAACTATACGTTAGCCACGCGGGAAACGCCGAAACGATCACAGCTGTTCGACACACTGGCCCTTAAAATTACGCACTACCGGCGTCCTTACTGTTGAAATCGCTTCTAACTGACTATAAAATATACCTAGTGACATCTGTTGATCGACTTGAAGTATTAGAAATGTTAGAAATTGAATTGCAAGTCACTACGCTGTACCCGCCGAACAGATAGGAATTTGCCGCAGGTACGCGTTTCGGAGCGCTTCGGTAAAAGGTCGAAATTTCAATGAAGAAAAATTTAGCCGGCTATTACACCTAATGTACCTTATTTTAGAGGGTTCGAAGTATTTTTTAAGCCAATAAACAAAAAATTGATTTTTTGAAAATTTTACAGTAGACTTCCCCCTTAAAACGGCCACTGAGAAACAGATTTTCTTCCCCTTCTGCGCTTCTCTCTGTTTATTTATATTTACAAACAGGACTCTAGTCTCCGTCTTTTTCAAAATTACCCAACCACAAGATACTGCGGCGAAAGTGGACAGTAATAGGACCTGTAATTGCATTCACGTCATACAGGATTACACGTTGTGTAAGCTTCGTAGCCAAACGCATATATATGTACACATTGTATATATTGCGTTTCTCTCGCGCGAAACGTGCAAGAGGCAAAAGGCCGAGGCATTCTGGGGCGGTTGATGCGCCAAAGCCCCGGGGTCGGTTTTAATCTGCTCCTCAAACTGCATCGCCACCGTATTCGCGACAGTAGAAGTTCCCAAGTGGCGAAATCCGCGACCGCTGTGCACACTTTCAAGCCCGGGCCAATTTACGATAACCCGCGGTAGCATTAACGGTGAGAACCGGTGGTCGCCAGCGAAAATGTAGATTATGCCGATGACGAGGTAATTACGAGATCGATTCGGCAGCGGACTGAGTCGCAGGCGTGTGTGCTTCTCTCCCTTTGATGCGGAATTCGGCTGTAATTGAGACTGATCGTGCGCGCGTATCGAGAGTTTCACGATGACGAATACTTTCGCTTAGCGTTTTAATTGCGTTTCGGTGCGCCCGATTACGCGTCATTTGTTCACTGTTAGAACACCGCGAGGAACTCGAGTTTCGTAAGGATGTGAAAAATTATATCTACCTACGGACAATATTAATATTTAATGGCACTCGGAGATTTGTGCTCCGGCTCTTAAGGATATATTACAAGTGGAGATGTTGAAAAAATGATGAAAAGATTGCAAATTTATTGCATTTAAAAGTAACAGGAAAAGTTTAACAGTTAATCAGAGCCTGGATGGAGATTTTTAAAGAAATGAGTTTGATAAAAATTCGATGAAACCTGCGTTGAAATGTCATCTAACTTATTTTTCGTGCCCTCTCTCTGATTAAACCAAGCAAGGGCCGTTTCATGTCTGATATTTTGTATTACAAGAATTATGCTTCGAAATCGTGTTTTTCATTTGATTAAAAATTTCTTTCTTATCGCGGGTGCACGCGGACAGTGTGGCTTCCACAGCGAGAAATTAAGCTGGACTCCCCTCGAACGTAACACATTTTCAATTTTCCCCGCGATACATCGCGTTCTCCGCGTATCCCGCAGGATTGTGATATATCGGCCACTGTTACGGTTGTTTCTCACGCGAGAAAGGTACACGGTGCAACGCTTTCCACCGGTCGCGTTCTCTCGTACGACTCGTGATTTTGTTACAATATTTACCTCACCGTAGTTTATTCGACGAGAACGTAAGGCGCGGAGAAAAATCGACACGTCCGGGATTTTCCGATTCCCCCCTCGGGAGCCTCTCTTAACGAGGGCGAGCGTTTATAAAAAAAAAGGAAAGAAAAAAAGAAAAGAAAGTGAATCGCGCGAAAATTCGCGTTAATATATTTTCGCGCGTTTATATCCCTCAAAGGCTCGCGAAAGCGGATGAATGGCTTATCTCCCTTTACAACCCCCGCGACTTCCATTTGGCTTCTGTCAACCGTGCCGCGCCGGAATCGTTGACGCCGACAAAGCGGGGGAATTGAAATCGGTGAGACGTGAAAGAAGGGCTTTAGAATATAACTTCGCTCCCGAGTCGAGTATCGTATTTAGATTCCGCCAACATTTGTTCGATGGCTCGCCGAGAGAGCGGGGAAAGATTCTCCCCGGATTCATCGCAACACCGGCTCGTCGACGCCCGAAACGAGCGTCCGTTTTGATGTTCGGTCAGTCACTCCAGCAATTTTCGCCGCTACATTGTACGCATGTACAGCCGCACTGGTGGTAGTTTCAATAATTGTAACTACATATATATATCCTGAAACTGTATATACCTCTGTGGACGATGACGTGCGATCGATCCCCGGTATTAATTGCGAAGCGGTAGCAACGTATCGCGGAATCAGCGCGCACGCGTTATTATCGCGTGTGCGAAGCGACACGTCTCGTCGTGAGAAACCGGAAAGGTTTTTCAGGGGCAACGAAACTGCTTTGAAGATCCACCCCGAACGATACGAAGATACGGGATACCACTTCTATCGAGTTTCTTGCCGAATAACCTTGTATTTGTACTCGAGCTCGCGCATCAAGCCGGCAGATTTATCTCACACCCCTCTCTCCGGTGCAATATGTTTCATGCCCTCTCCGAGGCGCGAACGCCTCGTGTCTTCGTCCCCCGTCTGGCATTAATAAGCGTATCGCGAAGTGCTCTTTTACTCGAGTGCACGTGGCTTGTGCGGGCTCGCTTGAGTGCACGAGATTCTTTAAGCGACGGACGACGGGGCACGCTCTTAATAATTCAGCGTGCGCTCGATGCATAAACGGAGCAGAGTGTGACACGTTCGCGAAAAGATTCTCCAACCAATCATCGCGGCAGTAAGAGCTCCTTCGCGCGAAGTAATCTATCCAGAACATGTAATGTGATTGTTGCCTGTTCTCGACGTCTCGCAAGAGAACGAGACACGACTCTCTCTCTCTCTCTCTCTCTTTTTCTCAAATAAGAGAGAAAGAGAGGAAGAAGAGGAGGAAAGAACACGGAATACTGTCCTCGTTCATCGTTGTCCTTAAATTCAGCGTTATCGCGATTAAAACCGATTCTCGAACCCCCTTTTGGGTTTCCGGCTTCAACGTTGATTGCATCACATTAACGTCGTCACGCAGCTCTTATCTGTAACTGTCCCCGGAGATGAGACGAGGGGAGAGACGCGTATTCGGGAATAATAAATATTCCATTTCCGAAGCTGCGGAAGGAGCGAGCTGCCAAATACAAAGGACGGATAATGCCCGGTCCGAGATTAGACCAGGATTTTCTCGAAGATGCGATCTCTTGAGGGAACGTCATACTTAGAAACGTTGACTGCAAAATATCGATTTCTTTTCCCATGTAATAGTTTACGTCCCATTGACTGCGCGGAATTATAAGTGCCTTTGCATCGTGAAAGTATGTAAAAATACGCACGCGAGAAAGAAAGATATAGTTCCGAAGTTTTCGACGCGACGGTTTCCAAAACCGAAGTTTGCCCGTCACGTTTTCGATACAAACTGTTGATGCAGACTGTAACGTAACATTTCGATCAGCATCGTCGTCGGCGTTACCGACTCTCGTTAAGTTCATCATCGACTTCGGCTTCCCCCTTAAACAATGCGAAATGTACGCGACGCAGCGCTTCATTTTGCACGTTCGCGTCTTATTGCACGCATTAACATAGAATTATGTCAAAAGCTGATCCCTTTAAAGGCGCCAGAGTGCTAAGGGTTCGTCGTGAGAGCGTCGTGCGTAACTTCTCCGAGATTTACTCCGTCTTATTTACCATCGTTCGCCGACAAACGGCAAGGAAAAGCAGGGCGGTACAGCGAGGGGCGTAACGGCGGATAGTTAAAGATCAGCGTGAT